AACGAATTTGGAAATGTTAAGAAGTTAAATTTGTTTTTTTCTGTTAATGCGACACGCGTTATCTTGTTAGTTGTATAATTTCAAAAAATCGGCAAAAATAGTTCCTGAAAGCAAAGTGTGAATTTTTTTTGCTTAATCGATAGGTATTTTCATATAGATTCACGTGACATAGGTGAATATAGGCGACATTTTCTAGTTTGGCCGCACCAGAGTGTCAAAGTTGGGTGTTCTCCCATAGCTAAGTTATGGTAACATAGCAAATTTCAAAAAATCGGCAAAAATAGTTCCTGAAAGCAAAGTGTGAATTTAATCGATAGGTATTTTCATATAGATTCACGTGATATAGGTGAATATAGGCGACATTTTCTAGTTTGGTCGCACCAGAGTGTCAAAGTTGGGTGTTCTCCCATAGCTATGTTATGGTAACATAGCAAATTTCAAAAAATCGGCGAAAATAGTTCCTGAAAGCAAAGTGTGAATTTTTTTTGCTTAATCGATAGGTATTTTCATATAGATTCACGTGATATAGGTGAATATAGGCGACATTTTCTAGTTTGGCCGCACCAGAGTGTCAAAGTTGGGCGTTTTTTCATATGCAGTTTTCGCTAGCATACCAAATTTCAAATACCGTTAAAAATAGTTTCCATAAGCAGAATTTGAATTTGTTTAGTTTGTTTGAAAGGTAGTTTTATATGGATTCATGAAATGTCCACAAAAATATTTTCTTTTTTTTAATATGGACGGATTAGGCTTTCAAACCAACTATATCTCAATTGTAAGTATTTAACATGAGCTCTGTTAAGACGTTAACAGAGGTATGTTAACAGAAATGGTAGGTGTCTTTACTAGTTAAATTCGAATTTATCGTCACACCCTTTATATTATATGATAAATTAAATTAATCTGACAACGCTTGCAAATGTCACCTGGAATGTAAGCAAAGCTTTCTATTCTTTATAAAATGGAATGCTATATCAAAGCATAAAATGTACACAGACTTAACAGTAACATATTAAATGTAATATGTTCAAGCATATACGTATGCAAGACTATCTTGCATACCGTACAAAGGAACATTTCGCTTTCGTAATAAACTTTTGGTTGTACTTTCATCGAAATAAAAACCAATTGATTTCGCTTTTTACGCTTATTAAAAATACCTATGATGGAAATGAACATTTTCAAGCTTAACGGATACTTAATAAAATTAACCTAAGCACAGAAGTGGTGGTATAAAAAAATATAAAAATAGGAAATTAACGAAGTAGTAGTACTTACTAAAAGTATTCACTTGAGAAGAGACCACATCAATTTCTTCATCTTGTTCACAGGTATTTTTGATTTTATTAGTAACCTCCTTTACGTTGAGATGGTGGGCCAGACTATTGAACAGCACTTCGTTGCTGTCGACCTGCTTCAATTTACCCACTGTAGCATGAGTTTTCTGCAGTTGTGCTTGACGATTATGTTCGAAGCAGAGAGTAGTCATATTTGGATCCTTCTTGATATCATGTTTGGGTAATGCATTAGGGCATTTGCGTCCATTGAAGTAAACATAACTGCATTGACGAAAGTTTCCTCGCGGATCACGCAAGATATGACGAATGCAATAATCATAGCCGTCAATCCGAGGTATAGTGCACTCATAAGTAGAATGTGAACATGGCTTAAATTTGTTTTCGATTTCTAACTGCAATTGACCACGCAATTCTTTATCGCTGCGTGGTAATGCTTTCGACATGTTTGCCTTTTGTTCTTATTTACAATACAATATAATTGAGTATTATAAAATCTAAAAGCATTAATATCTTAAATTCTTATATCAATAAGAATGTATTATTTTAACATTTCTGTACCGTAATATTAAAATTACTTTTTTGGCTATAAATTCTTTTAACAAAGTTAAATGTAGACTTAAGAAATTTGTCTCGTATTTCACACTTATAACAAAAGAGTACACATTGAAAAAAGCAAAAAGAAGCACAAAAATAATCCCAGATATGTCCATGCGAAAATAACACACCGAAACGACAAAAGAACTAGTCTCGCATTATACCTTTGGAACAATATGGCAAAGGACTTGATTACATTCCAAAAGCAGGAAATTTTTTATTGAAACTTATACAACATTGTTGTAATTTTCGATTTATTTATAACACCTCTGCTCGGTTTGTGTCCAAAATCCTACTTTTATTTAGTGAAAAGCCAAATTTCGGCTACGACATAGGTTCGCTTATATGCCCACATCTAAGGGACATATTCGAGATTATAAGTCATTTATATAATTTATATGTATGTAAATAACAAATATAAATATATACCAACAAAATTTATCTTCCATTTTGTGAAAAATTTATAATTCAAATACCCCTATGTTATTAGTGAATGGCAAAAACGGAAATGCGTTGTTGCTACCTAATTTGTAGATTTTATGTTCATTCGAGTAAGTTATAGGATTAAAGCAAAGGATACACCAAAATTGAATTTTTAATTAATTTACATGAATATGTTAGCCAATACGTAACATTTTATAGGATAATGAAATTTCCGAAAATAAGTTCGAAATCTTTGCAACTGGTCATGAATATCAAACATTCACCTACGTTTATTAAGAGTTATATTTCTCGCCTTTTGCTCGTTTACCAAATGACATATGGGTGGATTGTAAAAGTTTAATTAAACGTAAAGCAATTTCTAAAATTGTTGTGTCTATCAGTTCAGTTGATTTTAAATTACTTCCAATTTGTGAATACGCAAATATATATAAATTTTATTAGTTTTTTATTTGTTTTATAATAGGTGGGGAGATTGTTAAAATTTTGGGAATTAGATGAAATGAAATTATGGTATGAATAATTCATACGAACAATTGAGTAAAATTACATTATTAACTTACAATAATTAATGAATTCCTTTTTATTTAACCGCTCAACTATTAATTTAATTTTTTTTTTTGAAAAGTGCTTATCTTCAATATAGTTTCTATCCAGATCTAGAAACAATGTCAATACGAAATTTTTGCAACCATGTTCTGTGCTTTGTCGTCGGCCATTCCTACAAATACATTTTTTTTCTGTGAGAAGTTAATTTCTATCTTTTTTTCTGGGAAATATTGCGATTTGTGCATTGATTTTGCACTAAAAACACAATAAAATTGTGAGGAAACGATGTCTAATTGATTTAACATCATTTGGAGTTTCTTATTACGTAATTTTTAGTGTTTTATATGGCGGTATTGTGGAGTGATTTCTGTGATTGAAAAATTTTATTCTTTCATATATTCAACGACGTTTTTCTAGTGAAGAAACGAATATATATTGTGTTTGTGTGTATATATTTCGAAACAACTCGTGGCTTCATGGCATACTAAAAGTTTAACGGAATTGAAAACGAATTCCGTGAAACTCCATAATTTTTAATTGCAAGCACGATACCACAAACATTTGTGTCGAAAAACTCCGTCGAATTGGTTTAAAATTTGCCATCGATTTGGCAAAATAACCACTTGAGACTGATTTGGGATGCAAGTGTAGTGACGTCGACGTCGTGCGTAAAAGCAGCGGAGAGCAAAATAAAAAAAAAATAAATAAAAACGCAGCGCAGCAGTAATAATCAGTAGAGTTTAAGACGACTGTGCAAACCCTTGTTTACTAATGTACGTATAACTAACACGCCGGCGATAATGTTGTTTGCAAGTTGTTGAATTTGAATTCAACTACTTTTTTAGTCGTGTCCTTTGTTAACAACATTTTCTCACTGAGCTTTAATATGAGTGGTGTCCCTAGCCCTTTGTCTCGCTGCAGTGGCGAAAAAGACAAAGATTCTATGTGGTATTTCACGTCAGAGCAGTTGGCGAATTCTCCTAGTAGACAGCAGGGCATTAGTGCTGATCAGGAGCTCTCCTATCGCCAAATGACAGCCTATCTCATTCAAGAAATGGGTCAAAGGCTTCAAGTGTAAGCGCCTGTTAACACATCTTAAGTTGAGACAAAATTGGACCTTTAAATTGTTTTTTACGTCTATGTACTTGCAGCTCCCAGTTGTGCATCAACACTGCCATTGTATACATGCATCGTTTTTATGCTTTTCACTCCTTTACACATTTTCATCGCAACGGTATTGCCGCAGCAAGTCTTTTCTTAGCCGCTAAAGTTGAAGAACAACCGCGTAAACTGGAACATGTCATTAAAGCAGCCAATAAGTGCCTCAATCAGCCTATTTCTTCTACTACGGATAACAATTATATGGAACAGGCAACGGATTTGGTATTCAATGAAAATGTTCTACTCCAAACATTAGGATTTGACGTGGCAATCGATCATCCACATACACATGTTGTGAAGACATGCCAATTGGTTAAGGGTAACTATTTTTTTTCCTAGAGTCATTCGAAGTAAGTTCTTGCTGATCATACAAAAAAATATGTTTACTTGCAGCTTGCAAAGATTTAGCCCAAACTTCTTATTTTCTGGCCTCCAACAGTTTGCATTTGACTTCAATGTGTTTGCAATACAAGCCCACAGTAGTGGCCTGCTTCTGCATCTATTTAGCTTGTCGGTGGTCCCGTTGGGAGGTAATCATAGGATGAATCATATATTTGGGGAAAAATTATTGTAAATTATTTTCTATAAATTTTCCAATACACTTGCCAGATTCCTCAATCTACAGAAGGAAAACATTGGTTTCATTATGTAGATGAGACAGTGACAATGGATTTACTGAAGCAACTCACTGAAGAATTTATTGCAATATATGAGAAAAGTCCGGCTCGTCTAAAGTCTAAATTAAATTCCATAAAAGCTCTAGCTCAGGGTTGTAATCGTAATCAGGGGCAGGTTAAGGACAAAAAACCTGATCAAGACTGGAAGGTGGCCGACGTAATGAAAATGTATCAGCCTGCTGATAGCGTTCCGGTTAGTGGTAATAGCGGACAAACTCAATCGTCTTCATACACAGCAGCAGGTCAGGGACCTATGTCGAATGATCAACCTCAACCAACTGGACAAAGTGTACCACCTCCCATGTTACCTCCACCATCTCATCAATCTCAGCAAATACGCAAATCGGATATGCATTCAAGTAGTCAACATCGCTCTCACCATACTTCGTCGACGTCATCCTCACATCATCCTTCCAAAATAGGTTTTGCCTCGGCCGACGTCCAAGGTAGTATTGGCTGTAATATTTATTCATACAGTCGTTCATTTACATGTATATTTACATTTGCCAAGATCACAAAGTCAGCAGTCATAAACAGCAACCTCAGCAGTCGTTTGGTAGCAACATTAATCGGCCCCGCGAACATTCTGGCGCTCATCCTCAGGCGTTAATGACTTCATCGAAGAGTTCGAATAATCGTTCGTCATTGTCGGGAAATTTGGCCGGGCAAAATTTTTCACGTCCGCAATCGCAAGGTCATCTTTTAGATGGAAATTTTCACAAATCGCGTGATCGCAATTTGTCATCAGTGCCAGCTCCCGTTGGTATTAATATGCCCGCTCATGCCATGTCACACAAAGTGTCTCAGAAACAGGATCCTAATCGATCATTGGCTAAAGAATCAGCAGCGCGATTACCGACAGAATCACAGTCTCTCAAAACAAGCGGAGCCCACAGCAACAGTAATAAAATATTTTCTTCTTCCTCCTCATTGCAATATGGTGGTAGCAATAGCCAACAACAAATGCCTCCTTCCAATACTAGTAATTCACAAACAGGCGGCACAAAAATGGATGTTTTGCATGATATGTCCCGCAATATAATGCACAACTCCCGAAATTATAATAATGTTCCCACAAATGGTCCTACGCCACCTTCTAGCTTTCATCAACAACAACAGCAGATGTCACGTCATAGCACCAACGGCAACAACTCTAATAGTATAAAACATGAACAGTCTAAACAAATGTCCGTCCATATGCAACAACAAACCAACACTTCTACACACCACCAACACCACCATCATCACCATAAACAAATACTTCCCTTGGAAACCGCGTACGCGGGGTCAAGCGGATCTCACGATTTAACTCAGCAATCCCAATCACATTCTTTCACAAATATGCGTCCTATCGAATCTCTACAGCATTCCGATGATCATGCAAACACTCAATTCAACGCGCACCTTACAACTACAGGAGGCATTACTCAGTCACAGAATGTAGCTAAAGCTGCTAATTCTATGTTCAGTCCGGATTGGATAGAAAAAGCCCACGTTCAACAACATCTACAATCACAAAGCCATTCAACGCTAGGTTCTAATTATAATGGAATCATGAACGCACATTCTGCTCCTGACAACTATATCTACAAAATGCCTCAAAGTACATCAACTACTACTTCTAAAGAAAGTCCCACTAAAGTAAAAAGTGAACGCGATTCATCAAAAAAAGATAAAAACCGCAACACCGACTCATCACTTATAAATCGCTCAAGTATACCACACACGTTATTAAAAACGTCTTTAAATAAAAAAGTAGAATCAAGTCTAATGCATTCTAATGAACTTGCTGGTACGAGTTGTAATAATAATAACAGTAGCGGTGGTATTGTCGGCATTAAAAGGTCAAATGAACAGTTGATATTTAAACATGAAGACGACATATCGGCGCGTGATAATAAAATTCGCAGGCTTGACAATATAAACGATATAAATAAGCATCAGGTAGTGAATGGCATTGAAACTAATCCTGACATGGTGAGAAATCTGTTGAAAGAGAGCCTTTGTACAACCAGTGGTCTTCTCAAAACAGAAACGATAACGCCCAGTTTACAACCACCTACTGAACTATTGGAACCATCGGCTACTACGTCGGCAGCAACTAGTTCTATTTTATCTACCACCGGCGGGAATACAAATACATTACCGAGCGTTTCGGGTATAAGTGCAATGGAGGTAGATGATCATACAGCCTCAGGCAGCAAATCGGAAAAGAAAAAGAAAAAAGACAAACACAAGCATAAAGAAAAGGACAAATCAAAGGATCGTGAAGAACGCAAAAAACACAAAAAGGACAAAGATCGCCACAAAGAAAAGGATCGAAGCGATACCGCGGATAATACTGAGCATGTGAAGATCAAAATATCCAAAGAGAAGCTCGAACACGTTTCTGGTGAACCGATTGGACTGAAAATTAAAATACCTAAAGACATAATACAGGGCGATCTGAATACTAATTCCAATGCAGCAACGAGCAATGCAGATATGCAAAGCAATCATGCACCGCCTGTGCTGAAAATAAAAATATCCAAAGATAAACTTGAAAGCTACAGCAGTGGTTCGTCAATGGATACCGGCAGTCAACCAACTGCTCACCATTATGGACATAGCAAATCCCTAACATCAAATTACGCAGCGTATAGTAATTCACACGCGAATGTCTCGACAAATATGCATAATAGTAGTGGTAACAATAGTGGAACTAGTAAGAAGAGAGATCGAGATCGTGATCGTGAAAGAGATAAAGAACGCGATAAAGACAAGAAACGTCATACCAATCATGATTCATCATCCAAAACAAGTGGGAATAATGTTGCCTTGATGGCCTCCTTGAATGGAGCGGGATCAACAGCTACAAACGGTCCGATAACGGGTTCCCACGGTGGCACTACGAGCTCGCAAAAGGGTCAATACTCCAGCAAGGTATAGTAACGATTATAGTTTTAGTAAACAAATCAAGAATATTTTATTCATTATTTGCTTTAAAACACATATATACTAAATAAATATACATATAAAACACACATAAATACATATAGACATATTATAAGCAACAATTATATTACACACATACTTACGAATATCAGTATACATACATATTAATAAGCCAATAAATGGCTTCACTGTGTAAATACGCATCGTATGCATATATCATTGATTCATTCATTGACACCCATACTTATATATGATAATAATGATAATAGGCGAAATAATGAAATGATATTTAAGGAGAAAGTAGGAGAAAGAATCATGAAAAAGACAGGAAAACAAAACACAAACAAACAATTAAATAACTATTTGATCGAAATTTTTGAACGATTAAGCAAAAAGTAAACGATATTCATTTCAGTTTTCATTTTATAGTAGACAGCATTTATATAACACAAATCCTATATTCACAGTTTATTATACTCATCACATAGGTATATATATATGTATATATATATATATTCGTTTACCAAATCCATCCGTAATATAACTGAATAGTTCAATCTACATATATATATATATATATATATATATATATATATATATATATATATACATGCTTACATACATACACGTATATATAATGGAATTTAAGTTAATTTAATTCAATTTTTTGTCTCTTTTGTGGTTATGGTTTTAATTTAATTATTTATTGGATGGATAGATGTTTGATTATGTAAATGTTGTGTTAATATTACCGTCAGCAATGATGGGGAATGTTTTATTATTATTATAAACATATATTGCTGTCAATCAAAAGTGCATAAAGCTTTGTGTGTGTACAATTAATGTTGTTACGCTAATTTATAGAGACACGTTCATATACACAAGCACACTCGTATACACATACATATACATACAGAGAGAGAAATGATTTTTTTGCAATATATCATAGAATTACTTCGTTAACAACTTTCCAGATATATCATCACAATCATATGAGTCAACTGTTTGGAGAATCAAATGATGACGACGATGATGATGATATTTACTGAATAATTGTGTAAATGAGTTCCTTTCGTGCGTCGTGCATTCTTGCTGAGCTACAGAAAGCCAAACAGCATACAGTTAGCATATTAGGGAAAAATTTCAATTAATCTTGCTTTTTTCACTTTATTTTCTTTCAACTTATCCTGCCAAAAAGGATATAAGGTTTAATTCAGCTTCTTCTTCTCCTCAATTACATATACAAAATTTTCAAAAAAAGAATATTCTTTTAGTCGCGAACAGCTTATAGTCGTATTTTTCTTATTATTTTCTTATAAATTTATTAATTTTTTTATACATACATAAACAAACAAAACTTAAATAAGTGCGAACATTTATGAATAATATATACTTATATACAGCTGTTTTATTTTAAGTCTACATTATGAATGATTACCAAAAAGGGAAAAAGAGGAGAAAATATGTTAAAATATAAAAAATAACAATGAGATTAAGAAAAAATTAAATTTAAATAGTTTAACTAAATTTACTAAAATGAAAAAAAAAGCACCTGCCCTAATAGTTAACTGTTATTATTATTAATATTGCGTTCTTTTTTTTTTTTCTTTTTTTATGGATTATTTATTAGAAACGGATTACTTTAGATCGTAGATACAAAATTTGTATTTATTATGTAGGCATCTGGAAAAAAAGCGTTTTATTTATTAATTTTTTTTTTTTTTTTTTCATTTATAAAGTTTGACAGAGAAAAAGAAGTCAGCGAAACGTCATCATAGTTTTGAACTGATTATGTGAAATGTACGGTACTTTTCACTTAAAAAAAATTTATGTTTAAGCTTGCTTTTAGGTAAATATGTTAAACAAAATTTCAGTACAATATATCACAATTCCGTCAATCCGTTTGTTACAATCAGAAATACGCATTTTTCTCTTATCCAAAAAAAAAAAAAAAAAATTTGTTATATTTATTATTTTAATTAATTAGAACGCTTTTATTTAGGGAATAGATGTAAATAACAAACAATAATAAAAATTATTTTTATCTAACAAAAACGCAGATGATTTCCTAGCGTCTTTGGATCACGGCTGATCTCGATTTCGACCATAGTCATATACGATGTAGGAGCAGTATACGATATCTGCTATATTGCATTAGTTTTCACAGTTTATGCTGACTAACTAACTGTCAGTTGCTTTTTGAGTTAAACTCTCTCTCTCTCTCTCTCTCTCTCTCTCTCTCTCTCTCTCTCTCTC